AAATAATTTGTAAATTCCCCTCCCCTCCCCCGCCCCCCTTCCCACGTGTACAAAAATGACGAACGTGTACGTTTTAAACGTATGCAGGACGACCGATAAATAAACGTTGAGACATAAAGTAATAATGATAATAATGATAAAACCTTTATTCGACGTATTTCAAGGTTTTCAACCTTCTAAAATCAGTAGTTGTAGTAAAAAAAAAAAAACTAAGATATTTATATTTTCCGTTAATGCAAAAAAAAAAAATAATGATAATAATAATAATGATAACATTTGTTTAAACAAAAAAAAAAGTAAAAAAAAAGTGGAAAAATTAATCATTTTGATACCTGATAATTTATATTTAAAAAAAAATTATAACGTTGTTGTTATTATTATTATTATTATTATTATTATTATTATTATTAAGGGATTATTTTGAATAATTAAATTTATAAAAAAAAAAAAAAAAAATTTTTCCTACCTGTTTTTCTCGTGTTCATTGTGTGTCCTTCTCCTTCCCTGAGATTTTTTATTTTTTGGCTTTTTCGTAACGTTTTTCGGGCGGTCGGAGGAAATTGGCGCGTTTGATGCGTAGCCATGTTCGGTTTCTGGAAATAATTATAAACGATTCATATTATTTATGTAAATTATTAAATAAAAAACACACGCACACGCACACGCACACGTGGTGTACGCAGACAAGTTTCAAAAATCAAAATTTCCCAAAATTCAAATCGTTAATAAATAATTAATTATTTTTTTTTACAAAAAAAAAAAAAATTTTTTACAAGACTTGGACAAAAAAAAACAAAAATGGCGGCAGCACAGTCCAAACTAATAATGTAAACAATGCGTTGTTAATCGCAACAACATTTCTAACAAACAAATTCACATAATTTTTTTTTTTTTTTTTTTTTTCATTTTTCTTTTCATTTTTTTTTTTTTTTTTATAATTACAACTTTCAAGGTCAAATTTATACGTTATCACGCTACTCAATCCATCAGGTACATCAATATTAAATTTCACTTGTCTAAATATTTTTTTTTCTTTTCTTTTTTTTTTTTCACTTCATATAAAAAATTAAATGAAAAATTCTTCTTATTCCCTCCTCTCTATACTCCCCCCCAACCACCTTTTTTCATTTTTCCCTCTTATTTAACCGACACCGTTTTTTTTTTTTTTTTAATTACTTTTAGAAGAAAAAAAAATCTTTTAAGTAAAATAATAACGTTATATATAAATAAACTGAGTGATAATATTAATAATAGTAATTAAAAATAAACATATAAATAAAAAGTTAAAAATTATTTATGTGAGAGTAAAAAGCTTTAAGCTTTATTATCATTATTATTATTAATTAATTATGATGTAATTTTATTATTATTATTATTATTATTAGCTTCTACAGGTACGTTTTCACAAGTAATAAATACATAAATATATATAGAAAAAAAGAAGAAGAGAAAAAGAAACAAAGAAAAGAAACAATTGATGATAATTTAAAAATAAAAAATTTAATTTTTTTTTTTGTAAGTAACGACTGTCGTTGACGCAAGGCAAGCAACTGCCATGTTGACGTGGTTATACGCAAACAAAGAAATCAACGGAATGGCTTTATACGTTTCTTTTTTTTTTTTTTTTTTTTTCGTGTCACACACACACATTTACTCTTGCACACGCATTCACACACGCACTCACGTACACACACAAAAAAAAAAAAACATTAAAGAATAATATACGTATTAATAATAATAATAATAAAACACACAAATACATACACACACCTCTATCTTTCCTATCTAAATATTCAGCTGCTTGAAGTAAAATATCAATGCTCATCGTCACTCACTAAATAATTTTTACGCACACACCCACTCCCGCACCATAAAAAAAATAATATAATATATTTAAAACGGAAACGAAAGGCAACAAAAAAAAAAGAAAACGTAAAAACGAAAAAACGAAATGAAAGAAAAAAAAAAAAAAATTGAATAGTCTTAACGCGCAAAACAAAAAAATTACCCGAACGCACACAAAACAATCCAATATCTCTTGACCCGTTCCTTTCCGCGGTTTCCAACACACTGACTCTATAACTGATGGTTATAAAGAAGATGTATATATTAAACAAAATGGAGGAGCTCTTCGAACGGATCGATATTAAAACAAACTCGATTCGTTCTTTATCCGCCAATCACAGGCAGCGCGATCTCATGATAATTGTTTTTAACAATTTAAAATTTTTTTTTTTTTTTCAAAATTATGTAATTTCAGTTCGATTATATATTTATTTATTATCATCGATTAAATAAAATAAATCACACGAATAATTGCGATCTTTTTTATAATGATTAAAAAACAAATGTTTTTATATTTCTTTATTTATGAATTATAAAAATTTTTTAAATTTATTTGCGCGGGAAAAAATAAACAAAGAAAAAATAGTACGAAAAAATTCCGCTTAGTTTATAATTGTCGCTAGTGTATTTTAGGAATGGTACGAGAAGGTGAGAAAATTCGGTCAATCCGTAGCTTATTATTATCATCATCAAATTTATTTACAAAAAAAAAAAATGCAATTCTTTCTTATTTAAAAAAAAAACGGTCATGTATTTTATAAAACATATCAACTTGTTCATTTTTTTTTTTTAAATGAAAAATGTCTATAATATATATTTTTTCGTCAAAAAATTAAAAATACTACTATATGTAATAAGGTACAACAAGTAGTATATAAATATTTTTTTTTCTTATGGGTAATAATAATTAGTTTTCTGAACAATTTCTTAGTTTTATGCACTATTTTTATTATTTATTTTAAAAATGAGTTTTTTTTTAAAATTACGTTTACATCTTGTGAATATTACTGGTCATTAATTAATTAAAAAATTTCGAGAAAAAAATTTTTTTTTGTCTCAAAATATAATTTTACTCGTTAGGGGAAAAAAAAGTTTATTTTGACAATGTATGTCTTTATCAATTTCATGATTATTTATATACTTGCCAAAACCTCCGGGATAAAAAATTCGAATACGGTAAAATATATTTTAATTTTTTTATTTCGAAATGAAATTTTAGAAAAACGGTTAATTTTCTTCAACCTATTAATTTTTAATTGTAAAATTATAAATAATTCAAAATTTATTTTGAATTATTTTTATTTTAAATATTTTACGAAAAAAAAAAACTTTCACGTGAATCCAGACGGTCTTAGAGTTTAAAAATAATTATTAGTAATATGCAAGGCGGTGAATTCAAAATGGCAGTGGTGTGGAGCTTGTGGTTGAGTAATCTTTATCTTAGTGCAAGCAAATGGCGGATGTTTGGATAATATTGAAACGAAATGAAAATTTAAAGATATTTGAAAAAAGAAAAAAATAAATTGTGCTTTGTAAAGTGTTTTAAATAATGGAACACAATGATTACATCTTAAATTTTTTCTTTAGTTCCATGGTACAACATTTAAATGAAGCCTTGATTCATAAAAATTGCGTATCTCACAGCTTTCGGAAACATAGTGTCAAAAGTAAAAATGATTTTGATTTTAGTTGTTTTGTAAAATCAATAAATAATTCAAATTCTAACTTAATTAATAAAATTTCTTCAAATATAAATAATTATTTAACGGAAGAGGTAAGTACGTCACTTTCTTATAAGGCAGTCTCATTGTAATATTGCAATAAAAGAATAAGGGAAATTTTTTTTAAACGTTATATTAATTATATTTAATTGTTTTTATCAGTAATCTAAAAAATTATCACGATCAATGTATTTTATAAAATATTATTTAAAACAACATTTCCTAACATGCATAGAGTCCACCTGTGAATATATTTTATAAAAAAAAAAAAACAATAATCAAGAGACTAAAGAAAACTAATTGTTTGGTGAAAAAACATTTATGCAAGGGGTATTCATTCCTTTTATTTTAATTAAACTTTTTTTAAATCGAAATTTCAGAAAAAAATTTTACTTAAGAGAGATTGTTATATAAATAAATAAGTAAATAAAACTTATTAAAATAAGAGAATTTAAATTTAATTTACCATTTCAGGATTTGAATGCTTTTATTACAGCTAGTCAAAATTGGTGCCTTCATTTAACAGAAGTTTGTATTAAAGAAAGTAGAATATTTCTAAAATTGTTACAACCCCATACATTTAAAACTGTTATAAAATCTGTGTTAACTTATAATTCAACTTATGGAAAAAAAAAATTTAATAATCAGGTTTGTTTTTTCTAATATATTCTAATAAATTGTTTTCGTAAAGAACTTAAAACAGAAGTCATTCAGTTATAATAATAAATAAAATTTGCATTTTTAATATTTATAATTATTGCCATATAAAAATGAATAATTAAAAAAATTTTTTTTTTTTTAAAAAAGACAACCTATCGAAAACCTTTGCAAAAATTTAAGTAATAATATATATATATTATTTTTTTTTAGCCGAACAATAATAAATAGTTTCCTTAAGTCTCGAAAAAAAAAAAAAAAAAAAAACTTGTTACACAAGTAGGGTTTCTCAACTAATCATTATTATTATAATCAAAATTTACACTTATTGATATTTTCTTATGTTAACGAAAATTGAAAACAAATTTATTATATTTTTAGTTTTTTATCTTTTTAATTTTTTTTTTTTTATAAATTTTCTTTTTTTTGTATTCTAGTTTAATTTAAACTTTTTTTAAATTCAATTTAAAAATATTTCTTTTTAAATAGTGCATTTAAAATTTTTTTTTTTTTAACAATCTTTCATTATTTAAATAAATTATATCATTATTATGATGTTTTATTCATGTTCATGAGAAACTTTTCATTTGTGTTCTCTTGGGTTTTTTTTTTTTTTTGTATAAATTGTTTATGATTTTTATTTAATTTTGTTGAGAATCCCTGCTGTTTTTTTTTTAAAAAAAATTATTATAAATTGTTTTTTTGATTTTGAGTACTCACACAATATAAATTTAACGGGGTACTTTTTTTTCCCAATAAAGATTTGAGTCAAACGTGATGAGCAACGGATCCAACTCTGGTAGTGAAATGTCCAAGAGACGTGCCCTACCTGGAACTTCGAGTGCCGTTGTAGCCCCGGATCTAGCCAGTCTTTTCGAGTGCCCCGTTTGCTTCGATTACGTTCTACCCCCCATACTCCAATGTCAAAGCGGTCATCTCGTGTGCTCCAGTTGTCGTCCTAAACTCACTTGTTGTCCCACGTGTCGGGGCTCATTGGGAAACATCCGAAATCTCGCTATGGAAAAAGTAGCGAGCACGGTCATGTTCCCTTGTAAATATGCCGCCACCGGTTGTTCCGTTCTTCAATTGTACTCTGAAAAAGTCGAACACGAAGAAGTCTGCGAATTTCGGCCATTCCAATGCCCCTGTCCCGGAGCTTCGTGCAAATGGTTAGGATCCCTCGATCAGGTGATGCCTCACCTCGTCAGCTCACATAAATCCATCACTACCCTTCAGGGCGAAGACATTGTTTTCCTAGCAACTGATATTAATCTTCCCGGTGCCGTAGACTGGGTCATGATGCAGTCTTGTTTCGGACATTGTTTTATGCTCGTGTTAGAAAAACAGGAAAAGTTTGACGGACACCAGCAATTTTTCGCATTGGTTCAATTGATTGGTTCTCGGAAACAAGCCGAAAACTTTGGATACCGTTTAGAATTAAATCGACAGAGAAGACGATTGACTTGGGAGGCGACTCCGCGCTCAATACACGAAGGAATTGCCACTGCCATCGTTAATTCTGATTGTCTTGTCTTTGACACGAGCGTCGCTCAACTCTTTGCTGATAATGGAAACCTTGGAATCAATGTAACTATATCAATAGTTCGGTAATCGACTTTAACCATTTCTGATTTCTTTTTTTTTTTTTTTTTTTTTTTTTAATTTTTATAAATGTTGTAAAGGTTTTCAAGGATAAGTTAAGCGTCTATTTAATCATCCACTGAAAAAAATATAATTATATATATTTATATATATTTAAAAACATCTTAAACATTCTTAAAGCGTGATGATGATGATGATGATGATGATGATGAAACGTTATTATTCTTAAACATTCCGATAGCGGTTATAAAAAATAGAATAAAAGAAATTATTATTAGTATTTTACCAATTGTCATTACAATAGATTTTACAAACAATTATTATTATTATTATTATTAGCAATGGCCACCTTTTGTTTAATTGAAACATATTAATCTCGTGGCCAGAAAGAGCATTATTATTATAAATAATTAAATAATTAAAAATATATATATTTGTTTTAATAAAACCATTTCGGT